AACAGGTTTTACCTAAGTAAAGCTTACACCCTAAAGTAGAAACCAAACATATGTCAGGACTGAAAACTGCTCCACAGGTTTGAAAAGTCTGAAAATAAAAAAGTCTAGAGGATGATAAGACCCAAACATGAGAATATCTGGGCCAAAATATTAACGATAAATCGCATATATGAAAAGAGAGTAAATCTAAGATAATTCTGTTCTGCTTCCTCGACTAGAGCAATTGATCAAAAGCAGTATGATTGTATGTTTTGGAAGGAAGTTTCTTTATGTCCATCAATTCTTACTTGGAATAGTTTATCTAAGAAAACAAAGCAAGACATTCAGGAAGTTAGTGGTTTGGATAACAAAACAGTGGTGGGAATAATGCAATTAAATTTCAACACCTTAGTATGGTGAGTCACATTAAGGGGTACCTAATACCATAAGTTTGCAGGATATCTTTTTTTCAGACTTGGTAGGTTTTGTTTTAATAAAAAGGAGGAAGTTAATTTCACATAGCGTAAAGGAGAGAGAGTTTTCAGGGCTCTGCAGCTCATGCTGGAGTCATCAAAGATACTCATAACTCAAGTGAAAGGAAGTAGAACAAAAGGGAAAAGTGGGGAAATAGCACAACACGTTGAAACTCTTAACAGACTGCAATTCTGTCAAACGATTGTAGCTTGGAAGTAAAATCTTCCCAGAAATATGGTGGGAAATGAAGGCTTTTGGAGTAAAAGCCCACTGAACATAAAGCGCAGTACTCTATGTATCTTTACTCCAACTCCACACTAGAAACCACTTGTATTTTCTCATCAACAAAACCTCCAATTAATATAGTATATAAGTCTGAAGAAAACAACAACAGCAGAAACACAAACAAAACCACGCTCTGAGGCCTAAACTGTTTTCCAGCACATTTTAGGGCAGGCATCCTCAAACTACGGCCTGCAGGCCACAAACCACCCGCCTAGGACATTTATCCAGCCCGCCGGGTGTTTTTGCTATCACTGCCTGTCCTGCTTAGCAAGCAGCCGACTCGTTTTGGGCCAACAGTGGGCACTCTCCAACGGTCTGAGGGACAGTGAACTGGCCCCCTGTTTAAAAAGTTTGAGGACCCCTGTTTTAGGGTTTGGGTATTGGAGAGCAAGTATGCACTCTCCAGAAATTTATACTATGTGGCTAGCAGCTGTTTCTCACCACCCTTCCTAAGGGCCCAAACACTTGCCTACCCATGCCACAGTCACACCTTCGAGGGCTGCAGGGAGAGCTGGCATTTGGGGTGGCTGGTTTGTAAGATTAATGTATGATAATGATGGGAAGCGACAACCTGTAGCTCCATCCTCTCAGAGGTTTCCTCTGTCTGCTGAGACAACAGAAAGCTTTTCTGCTAATCCTGAAAGGACTAGATCTACAGATGAGAATTTCACTTCCTGGTACTGTGCTAAGCAAAGAAGACAGAGATGAAATAGGTGTTTTTTGGCATCAACGAATTTACTTAATTCTCATGCCAGTCGATTAAGACACCAAAGAAATACTCAGAAACTTCCTATAGTGGCATCTTCCAAATCCCATCTAACCTAGGACCTGCCCTGCTGTAAGCTTTAATTCTCTGACAAAGTGCTCTCTAAGTTCAAGTACAAACATAGTCAGAGGCATCGATTATTAAATTTTAGCAAATTATAGTGAAGGAAGTGCTATCCCTAGAATATGCCAAAAAATAAAATCTTGCTTTAAAGATGATGACATTTCAGACTGATGAGACCAGCTTATCTTGTGCTGATAGCTAATTTGTAGCTTATTCACCTTCCTAATTATCGTCCCCTTCTCCTCTGCTACAAAGTGTTTGTAAAGGGAAACCAGACGAAGTCATGTTAGTTGATTTACTGGTTTTTATCCAAGCGTATTTTACTTAAATGAGGTTTGTGATTTCCTGTGGGTGTTACATGTCATTTTTATGCCTCTTTTCTATATTTTTAGATAATTAGAATTTGAACATATTTACAATTTCAGGCCTTGATAATTCCTTGATCCAACTAGATTTTATCTAAATCATGGAGGATCTTTCTTTGTGCAAGGCACTGCAGGGAATAGAGCGATGAGGGAGACAAAGTCCTGGTATCAAGGAGCCAATGCATTGTCAATTTGCAGGATTTTTAATAAAGTCTATATTTTCTGTAGACCTTGATGTGAACAGCCTATTATTTGTAAATATTACCGATCTGTAACCAGTGCTGTTTTTCATAACCCTTAGCTCTTGTGCTTTTAACTACATAAGGTAAATTGGTAAACTGTAGGTGTTACATTAAGGTTTTTAAGTCATTGCAGAAAAGAGCTAAGAAAGACATCTATAAAGATAGGCCACCTCTTATATACTACACAGAATTAAAAAGCAATCTTAATAATAGTTAATACAACACAGTAAGAGCTAACAAAAGGTGCTTGTTCTGTGCCCATTGTATATACATACATATCTCTCTCTCTCCTCTCTTAAGTCTCACAGTGGTGCTATGAGGGGGTACTATTATTATCTTTATTTTACATCTGAGAATACACACAGAGAGCAGGCAGAAGAATGTGGGGAGGCTAAGAGTGGGAATGGGATAGTTCAATGTGGCATGAAGAATTTGGAAAAGAGAAAAATTAGTATATAATTGCTGAACTGGGTTTAATCAAAATCTGAAAGTACAATAAGAGATTCCAGTGGTACTAAACTGAATCAGGTTACTGAGTACATAGCAAGCACAGAAAACACTCACATCAAGACAGGTTTAAGTTACTGTGCATATATGAATTAACCTTCACTGAGGAAAAATTCAAATGATTTTTAAGGTGCAAAGAAATACTTAACAATTACGAAGAAAATAAAAACAGCAGTGTAAAAAAGAGAATCCAGAAAAGTTAGAAATGTGTTTAATAAAACAAACTATGAGAAATACAGTTTTGTGGTGTATTTATGATACCAAACCCTAAAATAAAAATGTATTATTTCAATATAATGTTTCATTTGAATATCATTAAAATATTTCTAATCTTCAGGAATATGGTCTCAGTTTTCATCTCAATGTTTGCTGTAATGTAGATCTGTGCAAATCTCATTATCAAAAATGTTAAGAGAAAATTTACAAATCAGGACATGTTTTTCTAACATAAGCAGGAGAGAAAAAGTTATATTGGGTTCTAAAATAGTCATTTTTGTTTTCCATTTAATAAAATTTCTGAATAAACACTATTTTAAAGTATAATAAAGAAACCCCCTTGATGAAAAGTATATGTGGCATATTGTCATGAAAATTATGGAATAGTGAAATATTATAAATTGTGCATTTTAGAGCAAATATTCTGGGGTTCAACTGCCTGGTATGAATTATAGTTCAACCAGCCTACTAGTTTAGTCCAAATTCCCTTACACATATTACTTTTTTTGTCAGTTTTAAAAAAGAAAGTACAAAGAAGACCTAGTTCATAAAGGTGTTGTAAGAATAAAATACAATAATAAAACAATATTTGCTTGGCACACGGTGGGGGCTCAACATGTGTTAGGTACTGTTTTCATTATATTTCATGATATAAGCATTTGCTATTTATGCATAAACTATACTAAGGACAGAACTAGAAAATCAATTTCATGAAGATTCCTAAACCTACCAGAAAAAAAGTAATGCCTACCTGACCAGCTATTTCAGTAATATAGTTTTTTTTTTTTTTTTTGAGATAGAGTCTTGCTTTGTTGCTCAGGCTAGAGTGAGTGCCGTGGCATCAGCCTAGCTCACAGCAACCTCAAACTCCTGGGCTCAAGCGATCCTCCTGCCTCAGCCTCCCGAGTAGCTGGGACTACAGGCATGCGCCACCATGCCCGGCTAATTTTTTTCTATATATATATTAGTTGTCCAATTAATTTCTTTCTTTTAATAGTAAGACGGGGTCTCGCTCTTGCTCAGGCTGTTTTGAACTCCTGACCTCGAGCCATCCCGCCCCTCGGCCTCCCAGAGTGCGAGGATTATAGGCGTGAGCCACCGCGCGGCCGGTAATATACTTTTAAAATTCTATAATATTTGATCTGAAGTCTGAAAGAAAATTATCAGCCTGGTTGATAAGAATACACACATATACACAAGCGTCTCCCTAAAGAGATATGTGGTTATGTGCTCATATAAGACAAAATATTTGATATATTATTATTTCTGATTTGGTATCCCTGGGGTTTTCCCAAACTGAAGAAATAAGCTTCCAGAAACCATAAAAAGCAACGGCCCATACTTTAAAAACAACACCAACCAACAAACTGATCTGTTAATTCCAAAGCACTCATCTGCAACGGAGACCAGCCCCACCTGGGTGTTGGTGCCACGCTCCTACAGCATTTTTACAAAAACTTTGCTTCCTGTAGAGTTTCCTTGTAAAGGTGGAGCTTGTCAAGGCATTAGGTAACAGAGCAAATTTAAAAGGCTCAGAGACTAGCATCTGGCAAATATCCTGTTGGGTGGAGAAGAGTTAAGGCAAGCTTTTTTTCCAGCATATTATGGGGTGACATTTTAAGGTTTCAATAAATGCCCATTTCCCCCCCTCCCCCCACAAGTCTGAGTCTCCAGCATGACCATCCCCCAGATGGTGCACATCTCACTCATTATATATGTATATACCCACCCCCCAAGGCAAGCTTTTAATTTTCTATTCTCATACCTCACCATTCTTTCCTCCCCATCAGACACTGCTCTTGCACTCTTCCTCTACTTGACTTCAATGTTATGATGTATAATGGATGAAGTTTATAGTTCTAAATCCCATGCCTTGAGCTATTTAGAGACAAGACATTATGTAACACTAATGAAGTAATTAACTGCATCTTTTGCCTATGTGGCACATACAACGTTTCATCTTGGATGATGTCATCGGATACCATTTATCAGTATTTCTGGCTTTCCAAAGCCATACAGGAAATTCATGTCTCTTAATTTAGAACATTAAATTATATACATTTCCTGTAAGCTAGAAACATACAGACTGAGAAAAGTACTTACTTTTGCTCAACATAGAATGGATCAAAGAATTCCTTTGTGATTTTGTTTGCATACAGCGAACAGCCAGTCATTGAGCACAGCCCTAAAAAGTACCAGAGGGAAAGTACCGTGATTAGTGTTATTTCATTAACATCACGAAGTACCTTGTTTGCAAGAAAGTTACTATTTACCTGACAGTATGAACACAATCCCAGCCAAACAAGCAATTTTAGCTTTGGCTTTATCTGAGCCTCCGACTTTGGTACACTTCATTCCAAAGAGTGCAAATATGGAACCAAAAAAGCCCAGGCTGACAGCAGCAATCATAAGTCCTCTACATGCCTGGATATAACCTGCAATTAGAGTAGGTCATTTCTGTTAACACAGATCATGTGGCTGTCCAGGGAGACATCCTCATTTTACATTGTCATTCTGAATGATTGCTCTGTTTTCAAAAAAAAATAAATAACCATAATGATTAAAACATGACGCAAGATAAGCAAGAACAGAGAGAGCAAATGAATCAATATGGAGTGCCGATGCTATATCACGCATTTTTATGTTTAGTTTATGCGTAATCCTCAGGATAGATCTCTGTGTGTTATTATTCCCACAATCCCTGATAGGGAAACTGAGGCAAGCAAAGATTCCATGATAAACCAGAGATGACTTAGTAAGTGGCAGAAATAGATTCCATCCCAGATCAGACTACAAAATCTATGTAACACCGTCACTGTGAAAAACATCACCTTCCACTATCACAACCCTCTAACTTCTTTGCTCATCAGACCTTTTAAATGATGTTTTAATGCTTTTGACATTATAAAATTTATAATGGGGCAGCAAGAGCTCCCAAAGGATCAAACCTTCTAGTATCTATGAAAGCTAATGCATGAAACTAACTGAAATTTCATCATGAACTGTGAAGAATCTAAATCAAGAAGTATTTTAGTGATGTATTATTTTTAGGGGAAATTTAATAAAATAGGGTTTTGAAAAGCACTGTTTTGTAGAAGAGTAATTTATAATCATTAAATCAACTGTTTGACTATAAATGGATACCTTCAAAGAACCCTGAAAAGTGTGTTCTGTCAGTTTGTTTGATCATTCCTCCTGTACCATTTGTTTTCTTGGTCACGTATTTTTATTTGCACAGCCAGGGTGATGGTAAACTTCAGCATGGCTTTTGTCCAAGTTTTTAAATTAATAGGGTATAAACTAATAAACGTTGACCACATAAGTCATTTTCATTTCAGTTTGAAACAGTGCCATATTTCAATGCAAAATAGCGATAGTAGCACATACTAGGTATTAAGTAAATATTTGTTAAGCAAATGAACATACACCCACATCAGGTTTACATTTGGAATTAAACTTTTTAATCAGAAAAAAAATGTTTAAATGCCAAGGTAGGGCAAGTCATTCATTATTAGTGTTCAGGTAAAGCCTATAATGGATAACAGTTCTTAGGCCATGATAGTCATGAATTGAGGGAGTAAATGCTGGTGGCCTCCAGTCCCGGTTCTTTGGGCAAGAATGAAATTTGAAGTTTTTTTTTTTTTTTTTTTTTTTTGAGACAGAGTCTCGCTTTGCTTGCCTAGGCTAGAGTGAGTGCCGTGGCGTCCAGCCTAGCTCACAGCAACCTCAAACTCCTGGGCTCAAGCAATCCTCCTGCCTCAGCCTCCTGAGTAGCTGGGACTATAGGCATGCGCCACCATGCCCGGCTAATTTTTTCTATATATATTAGTTGGCCAATTAATTTCTTCTATTTATAGTAGAGACGGGTCTCACTCTTGTTCAGGCTGGTTTCGAACTCCTGACCTTGAGCAATCCGCCCCGCCTCGGCCTCCCAGAGTGCTAGGATTACAGGCCTGAGCCACCGCGCCCCGCCTGAAATTTGAAGTTTTAATCCTATTCCTTGGATCCATTCTGAAGAGCCAACAGGAGCTGCTCTACTTAATTGTAATACACTTTAGACCCTCACAAATGCAGACTGCAGTGACAATGACCTTCTATTGTAGAGTGTGAGCTACTTGCACACAAAAGATAATTTCACTAACGCTGCGGCTATCAAAAACAGCAAAAGAAATTTATTTTTAGCAAAACAGGATAATGAAGGCTTCTTCTAGAAGCAGTAATCATGCTGCAGGGCTATTTGGGTCTCTGTTGTCAAGAACTTGGACCAGCTCTATTTTAAAAACATCAACCTTCAAGTTCCCCAGCCAGAGCCCAGGGAGCAGGTAGAGGAGAGACCAGGAAAAAGGAAGCCTGTCAGTCCCTTGCACGATTAAAGAGAGTGATGGGATAACCCAAACGGATCATCATTATACCACAGAACTGCTGGGCAGTTGCAGTTCCATTATTTCCTGAAATCCATTTAGTCTACAGTTTTGAA